CATATGTATATATATATATGCACATGAAAAACACACGTGTACATACGTGTATATACATAAATATATATATATATATGTATCTTTTACATACATACATACATACATACATATATATATATATGGCGCACATGTGTGCGCTGGTCGAATGCGCAAAGCAAGCTTTACATTGAAATGTGTAAAAAAGAACAAACCAACAGCATTGCTAGGGTGAAACACGGGGTTGACGATCAAAGGAATGAAGCGCACGTGCAGGGCTGCGCAAAACAATCCAACACACAAAACGTTAAACATGAGTAGACCACAATGCGGTTGAAAACCTGGTGCCCTGTGTCATGCAAGATGCACAATCTCGATGAGTTCTGAATGCTTATGGATTGTGCACAGCCCGTGTTCTCGTTCCTGCTGTTGCAGCCGAATCTCGGTTGCCAGGGCGACGGTGCAAACATTCGTAAACTTCGCACTGAGGAAGTATGCAAACCCGCATTGGTCCAGAGGGCCTTCTGCCAGTCGGAGCAACCGCCCACCACCTGCCAGAAACCTTCGAAGCATGGCACGTCCGCGGACTCCTAGCCAGTGCCATCTGAAGACTGCTGCGCACACAGACGCCATCGACTTTCTCGAATCCGGATCAGCAGCCACTGCCTCAGAAACAAGCCAAACCATTCCCACATCAACTGCGACAGTCGTTCTTGACAGCCTGAACGAAAATTACATGCCTGCCAACCTAATATCACGAAATTGCAAAAAGTCAACCCATACTTTGCAGCATATCTCAGACAAGCCACAGTCAACAGTGGCGACACCTGATGAACACAAAGCTATATGAATATGGTTCAATGTCGGTAACAGCTCAAAGCCACAGCATGGCAAACACTAGCAACAGGCTGACAAGCCTTAAGCAAAGACAGACTGGGCATCTGTTTGGACGCCGCGGCTGCCAATGCAAAATTCAACGGCTGCCGTAATTTGAATGTGGAGCGCATAGTGAGCCATCCCACCTCAGCTACTGCCGTAACTGTCCAATATTTCCCAAGCTTTGCTAAACTCTACCGCAATGGGACTCTGAAAGCTCACGCTTACCTCGTGCAGAAGGTCCGATGGGAGCAGTTTTTTATTAAGGCATCTTCAACAGATTTTTAATAAAGACACACCTTCCTGAGTGAGTTGCGACGCCCTTGATGCGAACATCCTCCGACCCGACGCAGATTAACTGGAACCGAGCTAGAACAGGCGAAAACAATCGCATAGCAACGGAACGTCAACAAAAGACTATCTGCATCTGCTGTGCGATCATCAGCTGCACATGGCATATGCTGCAACCAACAAACAAGCAAGCAGTGCTTCCGACACTGCAGACTGCGAGTCTTCATCAGCAGAATTGCTTGGTGCTACATAAGAAACACCTCTGTGTCGAGAACAAATGCAGATTGAGCATGCATAAACTGGCTGTAAGGTTTGGATATCCTTGCGAAGCTCCTTCATGCGAGTGTCAGTGACCAAACGTCAGATTGCAAGGGCTTAGGTTAACCTTCGAACCACGCATACAAACGGCACAGGCTAACCTCTTTTGCTTCACTTTGTGCCAAAGGGGCTACCAGTAGAAACAAGAGAGCTTCTTGTAGTGAGTGGCTCTCAAACGCACTGACAAGGGTCGCACCTGGCGTGCCGCGCCAGCTCCAAGATGGATCCTTCGGTCGCACCATTGGAAGCATGCGATCCCTTGGGTGCTGTCTGGCGCTGGACACTGCCAATCCAGCTCTTAGTTGCGCCCTCAGCTAAGGCTTTGATACCGCACTCAGCATCTGTCATCATGGTGACGTTTTAGCGCCCGCATAACTTCAGGGCCTCAGTCACCAATCCAGTGGCATACCGATTTACACCTTTCGCCACTACTGCGGTGAAAACAGAGCCGGACTTCTCATCCACGATCACACGGATTGGAAGGCGGCCGTCCTTCTTTATGCGGGGAGCTCCGGAAGCTCGCCCGCTGGATTCAACTCCTCGAAGATGCGCCTGTAGGCCTCACGTCTTTCAGAGAGCCCATGTTGTGTGTAATGTCGAGGGGTCGGCCGCCCAGCAACATCACCAACACATAGTAATGCTGACGTGAAAGATCCCGGTCAGCCTCCAAAAGAGCCCTGGTTGGGAAGCTCGCGCGGTGCCGCGCGCTCGTCGCAGCTACTGCACGCATCTGCACGCTTCTCACCCACCGTTCCCTTCGGCAACGTATACGGGTAACAACCCCTTGAACCATCTCAACAGGCGTTGCCTAAAGGTTGCCTGCTTCCAATTGTCCTTGGCGATGGTGAGGGCCTCCTTAAGTTCTCCAGCCCGATTCCGAGCTCGCTCTCGCTGCACCACCAGCGCCACCGATCGAAGCCGCAGCTGCCGAGGAACCGACCGAAGATCTCGGTTCTTTTGCGCCTCCCCAATTAAGCACTGACGTGAGGTCCACTCGCGGATTGTGCGACCTCCTCTTTCGGCGCTTGCACTCCCTCTTCCAACGGATCTGCTTCTCCGCGACGCAAAGGAAGAAGCTTCTGCTCATGTCTGCTCTATCTTGGGCGGCTGCTCGACGCTCCGCCTGTCCACGCCCTACCCGACGTGCGGTGGAGTCGGCACTCCTTTTCCCCCTCTTGTGCTTCTTCTTGGCAGGCGGTTTCCCTTTACCCTGCGTTTCTTAGGCGCCGCCTGCCACCGATCCGAAAACAGCTGGCACCGCGGGGCAACCCGCGTCCGGCCCGCAAGAGGGTGAGCTCCACTTGCATGGTTCCGTGCAGGGGTTTAGTTTAATGCGGTTAACCCTCAAACCACGCGCACACGGCACAGGCTCATCTCTTTTGTTTTTCACCTTGTGCCAAAAGGGGCCAGCAGTGCAAACTACACAACGTGGTACTCAGAATACTCTTTGTATCCTGACACAGATACTACAAGAGAATGGACAAGGGCTAACAAGGCCGCGTCTGTGAGTGTGTGACCTAGCACTGCAGGAAGTGGAAAAGCTGAAATGAAACCTTGCTCCGACCAAAGTCGCAATCTGCGCTAGTTTGGCTAACACCTGCTCCACAGAAGTGTACATTGCTGTAGCACGACTCAGCAAGCTTGCAAGAATGGCTGAGTAGCCCTGTCAATCCACACGTACATGGCATAGATTGGTCTTGCCAAGAGCTGCGTCGGGAAAGCTAGCTCTACAAGCGGAGCCCAGCACAATTCAGATTATGCCGCCACAGAGCAGCATAGTCAGGAGCTGCCAGAACTCTTTGAATCTCGGCACTCGACGACAGAAGGGTCAAGGCAGTCAACCATGTCATCGTGCCGGTGGCATTGAAGAACACAACCTTGGTGGGCAGCTGCATGGCATGGTAATTGGACCTGTCGGCTAAGACTGTCTGGCTCTGATTGCATTTGTGCCACCATTGCCAGCGGCCTTCGTGCCAACACCTGCCAAATCTGAGGCCGAATGCTAATGCCGCTAGTATCAGAGGGGACAACATGTTGAAACCCCAGCCTCGTTCCATGCACAACAGAAAGAAATCCAATATCCCGAATCTTTACACGGGCTCGTCGGCGGCTGAGGCATGGCCACGAACCTCGACGCTTTCCCCCTCAACGCATGAAGGCCAGACAATCGATCGGCAGAGATCCGCGAGCCTCTTTGACGTTGCACCCGGTGCTCGACAATATCTGTGCGCAACATGTCGCCCGGTGTCAGTGAACAGCCGCGGCATGTTTGCTGTCTTACGACAGGCCGTCCAGTGCATCGCGGTGCAAACGCCATGGCAGCGGAGGCTTGAAAATGTCCGACGGAAGAAGCTGTGGTGTCCGGCCAAATACTTCGTCTCTACAAAGTCCTACAAATGGAAGGGCTTGACGGTATACTAGTGAAAGGACGTACTATGGGACCATTACAGTGATTCAATCATGAACTGAACAAGAAGTACACCAACAAGCATGTGGGACTTACGGGCTTCTCACAATCAGCAGCCGTTGCTTCTGGAACAGCCAGCAATCAGCCGTCAGAGGTTGAACCTAGTTCATGTGTACCCGCTCTGTATGGCGTGCCGCGTCTCCGTATGTCTCCATAGACCGGCCGAATCGAACACGGCATGTCAAGGACAGGGCCAATTTGATTGAGCACTTCGAAATATCATCATCAAATCGGACGGTCCAACAACTTCGTTGCCCCTCGCGAATCCTCGCAGTCAGTAGAGTGCATCACCCTGACCGCACATGGTCGGCAAATCATGTCAAACGCCGTGAGACGGAATAGACCTTGTATCCAAGGGGGTGAGCGTATGCCGGACAATCGAAGACAAGAATGAGCTTGCACCCCGATGCAAACGCATGATGATAGGAGCTGCACAGCAAGAGGAATGATAGGGTGCAGAGTCCGTACCAACTCCGAATGCTGCACGAAAACCACACACATCGACTATGGCCAACCCACCCAGCCTGGCGATGCATAACAGTGCATGACACATTTTCGACCTACATCCTTCCAGTAGCATGTTTTGCTGATATCTGTGACTCCGCACATGACGCACAAACGTACGCTTCTGAGACAACGCGAAAAGTATCTAGAGAAGGCCTGGGAATTGTTCGGGCCTCTGTCTTGCAATGTGAAGGATTTTGAGGGCCACTTTGCTGTACCGTCATGCAGGCCGCACTCATCTTCATGTTCAGAATATACTCCCGCAGCCGCGCTGATCCGCACTTGCAAATCAGCTTCTGCTGCATTGCTCAGACTCCCGCTTCATCCGCTGGATTGAGCCGTCATGTTGGCTTCTTGTTCGGATCTGAAGATGAGGATGGTTGCGGAAGTTGTCAGACTGACACAAACCCCGACAGACGAACAGGAAAGTCCAGGGGAAGACCGACAGACGCGCAGAGGCAGAGACGAGAATGAGCAAGGCTGGACTGCTGTGTCGCCACCTCTTTTCACCAGTGCCATGCACATCAGCCTCAGTATCTGGATAACAACGTCCGAAAGTGCTTCGGCACACCTGCAACAAGACAGGTCGTCGAGGCACAACCGTGAGTTCTTCCAGTTGGCACCTTCACCATCCGCCTTTCATTGGCGTCTTCCGATGCCTTGCAGGGAGAGATCGTCACTGGGCTCGGGACGGTGGTCTGCATGCGAACACATAAGTACTACAATGCTCAAGGCCACGATTCAAAGACAGACTGCTTTGGACCCGAAGACATGGGGCTTTGAGTCAGAAACAGCCAGTACACCGCCGATGTCAATTTGTCGCTTCGTCGCTGCATGGTGGTGTGCGCCATCAATTTGAAGCTTGCAGCATCTTGAAGCGTGCCCAGTGTGAACGACTGTAATGCTAAAGATCTGCAAGCCTCATTGTTTAAACCAGAGACAAACTAAACAAACCCGAACCCGCGCCCATCTGTGGCCACTGCCCTTGCTACTGTATTCCTGGAAGCCCCACGAAACACAATATCAAGACGACGCTCGACAGGAGAATTAGAGACACGTTGTGCAGCCCACAGCGTGCCCCTATGCCATGTACAGGACGTGGACCCGCCCAGATGGCTTAAAGTGATGATGCAAGGCTTGGCGACATGTAAGACTACAAGCCGGGCTTTGACCGAAAAACGTAGGGTTTGGTTTGTTGCCATGTGCTACGTCGTGCGACTGTGTGATCAGCCTCCAGGGCTCGGAAAAAACCGGCTGGCAAGTCTGCTGAGAAGCCACTTCGGCCTGCAGTGATGCTGAAACGGCAAGCAAGATTGGACAAGACATCCTAATCAATGAAGCTCAGGCTCCGGCTCGTAAAGCTAGAACAAGCCCTATGCAACCATGTCATCCATAGTGCTTGATGGTGAGCCTGGCGCTTGCACACAAAACGAACGAGATCGAATCAGTTGCTATCCTGTCATTCCAAGGGGCGGAGCTGACCCGAAGAAAATCGGTGTCCCAAACATCACGACCTCGATGGCAGGACTGTGGTTCTGTGGGGCAGTGTAGGCTCTTCAAAGGAAAGGTGCCGCCGCAGTTGCAAAAATCGACGCTTGTAGTCATACAGGCGTGAACGGAAAACTTGATTAGTGAAAGCGGCAATGAAAAGACGGCTTCCACATGCGAAGACAGCAGCACAGAGGTAGATCCTAGAATCAAAAAACTCATCCAGTGACAGTCAGACAGCCTTGCGGCAGGCACGATGGCGGGAAGCCACGAAACTCATCCAGCAGAGTGCGAAAGCTCAAGCATCTCGAGTAAACTGCTGAAGCTCAACTCGTCAGTGACAACAGAATCACGACTGCGCAGGCTAAAATAAAGCACCAATCACACTTCCAAATATGCCGGATCCTACGTTCAACGAGCTGACAGTAGTTTGGCAAATCTTGAGGGCACCCCCGTCTCTGCGCTCTTGGCAACTATGCTCTCTCTCGGATGCACTTGTCGATCAATGACCATGGAACCAATCTCATGTTGCACTTCAGCGTGAGAAACCCACTAGCAGGAGTGTCCTTTTCGGAGCAACCAACTCTTCTCCCCCCTCGACCCTTCGGAGGAAAGAAATCTTTCTTAAGTCACATTTGACTGCATGACTGGGGCCGAGCAGTGAGACACATCAACCATCTTCAGGTTTTTCGTCCAAGCTAAAAGGCTGTAGGTTTTGTATTACGTCACTGCCAGGCTTTGACCACGAAAGATTGTAAGAGGCCAACCGTCTAGGATCGAGGAAACGGCTCCGGGCTCCAAGTCCTGCACAAACAAGCGCAAGTTCGTGGATGCAGGGCTGTGTTCCGCATGCTGGGACCCAGCAACTCTGCACCTTCATGTGCCACAGGAGCCATGCAATCGAGCACGACACCTCCGAGCCACCTGCAGCAAACTTCTGAAAAGTTGAAAACGATGTCGCTGCAGCTCGTGGAACTGCCCTGTGCTGATGATGAGTCTACTGTCTACCGCGCTGTGAAGGCCACTGTCTCCCGAGCGGATTTCAGCATTGGCTAGTAGGCAATGTATGACAACGTGTGAGAGCATTCTTGCTGGTACCGGCAATATTGCGCCAGCCTGCTCGCACATACCCATCTCTGGAAAGAGACTCTGCAACAGTCAACCTTGCTAGAAAGAACTGGACTTCTTGTTGCACTTGACGAAGGCAGACTCTTAAGCAAGTCTGACCGGGCATGGATGCATAAGCCGCTTGCGCTGATTCGAGCTTCGTGCCGGATACCTTCAGAAACAGACTTTGACAGGCTTCCTCGGCGTTGGCTAACGAGGATGCCAAAGCTGCTGCATGCAAGCGTACGATCCGCAATCGGCATCGCGTGGGCGGACCTCGTGCTCATGCTCGACGGCCAGAAGACCTTGGCACAACATGCAAGATTATTCATCAAGAAGGCCGAGTTTCAGGATCGTCGTATGCCGAGCTCAATGCATTTGTTGAGCAATTGCAGTTGGATCTTTTGCCTCTGTCACCAACCCAGTCACTAGTCTGAATGCACAGAGCTGAAACATGAGGTTCGCACGGTAACCTCACACCCATCTGCAATGCATCCTGCTTCTGTGGCAAACAAACCCGACAGAGAGAGACCTGCTCACACCAGGGCACCTGAAATAAAACCAGAGCCTCCAGCAAGCCATCCTTGCGGAAGCCAGCACAAACACACGTTACAGTAGTCGTAGCAGCCTAAACGGCCTTAACAGCCTTAACAGCTTCCCCATCAAAGCCGCACCTGATCATGCGGAAGCGACAGCATGGCTTCGATGGCCAAGTTGTATAGTGGCGCCTCCATCGAATTTCAGAAGCAACGTAGCGATGTGCAACTCTTCTTTTGCACCAACCGTGGTCATGCTTCTGTATTCCAAACATGAACATGCCTCCAACAAGAAGCGCCAGTCCTCCCGCAACTGCTTTGCAATGTCCTGACGTCAACCGGTGCTTGCCACAAGCCTGTCTTTGTCTTACTCCACCAAGCAAGCAGTACCAAATGCGCTGCCCCGACCCTGACAACCAGGGGTTTGCCATCGTCCAAGAAATGAGACATGACCTCGAAGCACGTCTTGAAGAAACGATGGATGTCGGGGTGACTTCTTTGGAGCCGACAGCATAGAGAATCGAGGCATCCTTCGGTTCAGTGCAGATCACAAAAGCCATCCGCGTTTGTGGCACATCAAACGCAAGCACTCGAACGGTTTAAGCTTGCGTCTGGTGGGTGTTCCAACCAGGTGCCATACAACCGAATCAATTCCAGAGCTTCTGACCTGCAGTCTTCTGTCTACTGTCCGAACACATTCCCGAACTAATTAAAGCTCATTGAATAAAACTCAGGAAGCCACTCGGCCGGAGCTCGCATTGAAGCTGCCAAAAGCCTGGTCCTAACAAAGCGATTGCAGCACGAGCCGAAGACAACCCTGTCCATCGTACATCCACGTGTGCAGACCCTTGAGCGTCGAACGACATCTCCCGATGTTTCAACTTCACGCCGAAGTTGTAAAACAGGTTGACGGTCTGCAAAGCCTTGCATGCTGCTGGTGACGTTCGAAAGATAACGAAAACGTGCCTAGATGCAGTTTACGAAATCCTGTAGGTAAGGTCCACTCCGTTTCCAAATCCTTCTTGTTCTGCACCCCACGGAGGATGTCGTACAAGCTCCGAACACCAACCTGTGCAAGAGTCGATTGCAATGCCGTGAAACGCGAGCAACATCACATTGACGCCGGCAGAAAACTTGCAAGTCACCTGCTTGTGGTTCACCACGCCGGTGTAACCAAACTTCTGCTTTATCTCCTGGCAAATCGAGCAGCACCGGCTATCGGCGATGAAAGTGTTCAGTAGCAGATTCAACTGGCTGGCATGTGCCTCATATAGAACTCGAGGAGCGTCTTTGCCTGTCAAGCAGTCAAACATGCACGATGCCCAACATCCATCATCCACATGAGCCCAACAATTTCAACATGTCGGGTGATCTTACCCCGCTGGCAACTGTGCTGACAGATCGCAACAGTCCTGGTTCCAGCTTCTCGCCCCAGTCTTGAAATTTGCAACCACATGCACATCTCCTCTTCTTCGTGCGGCAAATGACATCGCACTTTAGCAACTCACAGTGTTCTTGAGTCCTAAAGTCGGTTGAAGAGTTTACAGAGATCTCATTCGTTGTACTTCTGTGGATTTGACAATCTCGGCAGCTGTGCAAATGCGAAGGTTGCTGAAGCTTAAACATGGTATGAAAAACTGTCCCATGCCTGCATTGCCTTTCACAAGTAACATGATACCTTAATACTAATAATCCGGACTTTGCAGCTCAAAAATGGGCATGCATCATGTCGCCTTGCAAGAAACATCATCAATCGTGGCATAGACGTCTTTTACTGCGCCTAGACGGACAATCGGATGTTGCGAACCCGTTTCGGAAAAAACTCAACTTCAAAGCTGCATTTAGGGGTTGGAGTTGAAGCTTTGTTCACCGAAGCCAGCAACCAGCTTACAGGTTCCAATGCAAAAAAACATTTGTTGAATGTGTTCTTCCGTGTGCCGCTTGCTCTCCAGTCTCTGACGTTTGTTGTTGGTCGTTATCTTTGTGTTTCGAAGCTTCCACTGATCCACGCAATTGACAAAGGGAAATTGAGTTTTTGTCAAACTCCGCCACTTTGGTCCGGTTTTAGAAGTTTGAATTGAGCTGACCTGACCTGAACAAAATGAACCTTATCCGTGCTGTCGTTCTAGGTCAAGAGCAAATTCCGCCAAAAGCAGGCATGTTTCGTGATTGGGGGGCTGTGTTCTGCTCAGGTTGCGGAATCGTATGGCGACACAATCGCTCGGCCCGCGGAAATAACTGTGAAAGACGCAAAAAAACTGTCAGAGTGCTGTGCGGGCTGCTGCCAGGTGTTTGTGCCTCCCCAAAAGCCGGGAGCTGTTGACCATGGGGCCCACACTGTCGTGGGCAGCTGCGTTGCAGGTGGTGTAGGCATGAGCAGGCGTGCTTTGTGTGTTGGCTGCGCTGCGTGGGCTGAAGGTGCTTGCAATATTAATATCGACTGGCGTGCAAGCGCTCAGGCTGCAGCTCGCCCACCTGCTCGTGCAAGGTGCCAACAGCTCGCATCAATAATCAGAAAGTGTGCTAGAACATGGGTTCGATGCTGGAGCTGGATTGCTATCTGACAGACTGACGAGTTGCCCGAAGGCAAGTAAATAACCATGGCTATCAGTTCCTCCGACGCTGGGCGGTACAGCTGAAGGCTATTGTAATTTATCTTAAGATAAGTTGAGATGAAAGGCTCGCCCGTAGATGTAGGACCCTTGGTCAGGGCATCGACTAGGGCATAAAAGGGTTGTCTGTCTTGTCTTTCTGTAATGGAGAGGTCCCGTTCGACTGTGATAGGGGTGTCAGCGGAATAGCTTTCGGGGTCCCTGTCTTACTTAGGCGAAAGTTCTGAAAAAACTGTTTGGCCGTTGCTTCCGTGAGGAATACAATCCTGATGAAACTGAGAATGGTTTGTCACAGACTAGTTATCCAGACCACAACCGACGAAACAACCAAGGGGGTGTGGATGATCACGAAAAAGGGGGCCGGGAAACCAACACAGGAACCCGACCCTCAAGTTGAAGCACGCTTCACTCGGGCTTCTTTTCGTGCTTGAGCCAAACGTTAAACATTGGGCAAGGTTGGCACAGCCTGACACACATCTTGACACGCAGGGACCGCGAGTTTTACTAAATCCCCTCTTCAGGCTTGCTGAGCTGTACAGCTTAGGGGTCTCCATTGATTACGAACTTTGAGGGGAAGCCAACAACTTTTGACCTACCGTTGATTCCCGTGCAACTCAAAAAAAAAACAACAAAACATCCTCAAAATATACTTACGACACGTCTTCAAGACGCATCATAGCACGACGCTCCGCACGCATACTGATCACCAGTAGTCGCTTAGCAGACTTCTGAAAAGAAAGCTTCATCCGACTACCGTCCTCGTAGCGCAAAGAAGCTTTTGAGCATCTCCACTAAAAGGCTTCTTGATCACAACTAAGTTGTGTCAGGTCTCGCGCATGAGACCAGTCCTGGAGAGCTAGAGCCTTTGTCAACGGGTCTCCACGTTGATCACCGGTTTGGATTCCAACGTGATGTTGCTGTTGTCGTTGATGGCTTCACATGTTGGCGATACATTGACGCGATGCGTGAAGTTACCCTGTTCAGTAACGCTACGCTGCACATGGCGGCTCTCAGCGACAAGNNAGCAGAAGCAGCCAAGGGCCGTCGCCATCCCCCAATGCGACGCAGTTTACTACTGTATCCTTGTCGGACGATGGCTGCGCAGGCCTGATTATCTTCCCAAAACAAGGCCAGCCAAAGCGCAAGTTCGACACCCCCCTTTTGACAAAGGGGGGCTTAAGCCCACGACGAATACTACTATTATTACTACTACTAC